AGTTTTCTGACCAGCTCTTGATCGTTCATGCAACAACATAGCTCCTTCCTCCCCAACCTGACTGCATTTCCTATCATCCATCTTGTAAGAATCGGGGGTAAAGTGAGTACGATCTCATACACGTGAAGCGCACTATAACAGGATGAGCCTAGATACACCATATTGAGGTTACATCCCAAAATCAATTAGTGGAAGGAGAAGTATCACACTAGGCTTATGAGTTAGGCCTTTTTTTCTTGTATAAATGATGTGTGACAACTCAAAAGTGGTATTATATTATAGCACGCTCTCTCACAAGTGAGTCCTTCATACGAGGCCCAAGTCTAACTAGGCTGAGTGACGGGTGCGTCATCGCACGGTCCTACGTAGAATCGTCTCTGATACCATGTAAGAAACAAGGGGTTACACGTGCGGTCCCACGCACGTGAAGCGAACCATAACATGATACGTAGAGATGTTAAACGGGCTAGCCCTAGCGGTTACGGGCTAGCCCTAACGGTCTTCGGTTTAAACGGTCCGGGCCTAAAAAGCCCTGATTTAAACGGGCTACCAATAAAAAGCCCTAACCCTGTTTTTTTTCGGGCTAAACGGGCTGGCCCGTCGGGCCATGGACCGTTTAACATCTCTAATGATACGCCTAGATGAAACCTAAGTGAGGTTCCATCACAAAACCAATTGGTGGAAGAAGGAGTAGCTCACTAAACTTATAAGTTAGACATATTTTTCATGTATAAAAGTGGTATTATACTATAATACGTCCCCGCACTTGTGAGTTCTTCATACGAAACCCAACCCCAACTAGGTCAGATAACGGGAACGTCATTGCCAGGACCCACGTAAGCCGACTTTGACACCATGTAATAATCGGGGGCAAAACGAGTGCGGTCTCACGCACGTGAAGCACACTATAAGAAGGTGAGCCCAGATGAAGTCCAAGTGAGGTTCCATCCCAAAACCAATTGGTGGTAGGAAGAGGGCCCTACTAGGCTTATAAGGTAGGCCTATTCATTCTGTAGAATCAATGTGGGACGACTCACAAGTGGCATTATATTCTAATACGCCCTCTCACTCGTGAGTCCTTCATGCGAAGCCCAAGCCTAACTAAGTCGGGTAATGGGTACGTCATCGCCAGGTCCCACGTAAGATGGCTCTAATACCATGTAAAAAACGGGGGTAAAACAGATGCATCTAGGCCGAGTAACGGTTACCCGACCTAGTTTGGCTTGGGCTTTGTATGAAAAAGGAGGGGCCCACTAGGCTTATAGTTAGACATATTTTCCCTGCGTAAACGATGTAGGATAACTCACAAGTGATATTATATTCTAATACATCCGCTCACTTGCGAGTCCCTCATACGAAGCCGAAACCCAACTAGGCCGAGTAACGGGTACGTCATCATCAAGACCCACGTAGGCCGGATATGATACTATGTGTAAGAATCAGTGGCTATACGGGTATGGTCCTACGCATGTTACCATAGCAGGGTGAGCCTAGATGCACCATGGTGAGGTTCCATCCCAAAACAATTGGTGCAAGGAGAAGTAGTCTACCAAGTTTTTGTTAGTTCAACCTATTTTTCTTGTATAAACGATGTGAGACAACCCATAAGTGGTATTATAGTCTAATACATTTAATGACTTCAAGAAGGGCCTCCATCGAATCTCCTAAGAAATCACTAGATGTAGCCATTATTGCAAAACTTCAGCTCCTTATGTTGTTGTTCCACCTATTCATACTTTGGCATCAGAAGAGACCAGAGCACTAAACAACTATGAATTGTTGCCCGACTCCTATTTGTTTATAGCTAGGAATTCCATCCACTTTTATATTAATTTAATATTTGTACTTAGTTTATATATATTTTTTTCAAATAAAATAAAATAACTATTTTATGGTATGTTAATGCAATTTTTTAATCAATTTATGAGGTAATTAATATTTTATTTGATTTTTTAAATTTGGTTTGATAATCTCTTTTGAATTTATATATATAATATGAATGTCAAATAAAGATTACTAAAAAAATAATTAATTTGACATATAATTTATGAAAAATAAAATATAAATAAAAAATTATAAAATTATAAACAAAAAAATTTAAGAAGAAAACATGTTTATATAGTAATTGATGTATGAATTAAGTAAAAAATAAATAAAATGTAATATGGTGCTGAAAGAAAAAGAAACTTAAAGTAGTCTAACGGTGAAGAAAAAAAAAGGAATAGATCAATCACAAATTTACTTGAATAATATAGACATCTAATGCAATACAAAACTAATTATTTTTGGAGCAAAAAATAGTAATTTATATTCAAACCTAACTCCAATCTTCATAGTATAGTTTTTTTGTGAAACATATGGGCGTGTCATTTTAAGCTCAACGTAGTCGAGAATCATATACACGAGATATAGTTCCCTTAGAACTATTCGTGCTCAATAAAATTTAATTTTTATAACTATATAACTATTAGAAAAATATATTATTGATAAATCATGTCAGGGGATAAATGAATAACGAAAATTTCTACAAATAATAAGTTGGCCAAAGTTGTATTTTCAGAATATTTAATCTGTATTTCACTTATTTTTCTATATATAAAAAAATCTATAGTAACCTAGGTTATTTATTTATTATTAAACCGTAGACAGCGACTCACATCTAACATTTCCTTCCTCACTTTCCTAGTTTTCACCAGCCGAAAAAAAAAAATTGGAATATTCGTACATTTGACCGACCATATTCCATTATTATAATTGAAATATCCTTTTTTTTTTTT